AATAAAATAAAATAAAATTCAATGATCAGTTACATTAAATTTCGCAGACAAAGACCAACCAATCAATTATGTGTAAATAGATTTTAGATTGGTTTTTATATAAAAAATTCAACATTGAATATTATAGAAGATTTTTAAGCTTAAATCTACAAAAGTCATTTCGATTGATTTTGTTTTTTAAGATAATGATGTTCATAGGTAGACTAGCGACATCTTATGATTTAATAATTATAATTATAGACAATGGAAAGATTATTTTCTTATGAAAATTATACGAAAGAATGCATCTAGGATATTGAAATTTCAATGGAGTAACTTAGTCTCTTGAATGGCATTTAGAGATGTTGCGTTTTGAATTTGATTCTAAATTGTATTTACAACAAAACTGACTTGATTTTAGTAAAAACACGATGAATTAGGATATTTCTTTGTTGTATGAAATATATCTTTTAATTGTTGTCATCCTGAATATTTTACTTGATCATATTCCAATTTAATTATCGTTTTCTATGTCTAAAAATGACTCACATGTCTTTTTTTCCTGATATTTTGTGTTCGAAGAAAGTATAAAGTCGAGTTTTAACATTTGCTTATCGAAGCAAAAATCAAATCAAATCAAATCAAATCATTGCATAGCGTCATAGCTGATTTCACCGTTTTAGTGTTCTCAAAAGATCATATGGTATGATAAAACAGTCTGTCAATTTAAGAAGCCAGCAACTTTCATCGATAGAAACTGACTCAAATTGTAATTTCAAATGATTTTTTATTTCGACTATATGACTTTTTTATTATATGGCTATGAGTTATTTTGTTAGCAATTAATTGGTATTAGAATGTAATACAATATTTGAAACATAATAATATAAAGATATAACCGTGTATTGCAAGATTAAAATCAAGGTCGTTAGTTGTAATATAATCGTACTTAACAAATCATTTCGTTCTTTCAATAAATTTTTCATGTTGCTTTTTTTTTTATTTTTATTTCTTTTAGCGTGTCAAATTGAAAGCAATAAATCGTTTAAATATTCATACAATGTAATTCTTTTTTTTGAATTTCAATGAAGAACATAAGATTTAGTTGATAGAAAATTTTTTTTTTCTATATGAAAATTATATTTGCACTATAAAAAATTGAATTTAATTAAATAAAATACTTCTGCTTATAACTCGACAAAAAAAAACTATTAGTATAATCAATTTCATTTTTAAGTTCAGTCAAAAATAAATAATTTCCATTATAAAAATCTTAAAAGAAAACATCTATAAAATGTGTTTAGTTGTAATTTTCGAATCAACAATTATCAATATCTTGTTTTCTAACATAATGTTAATAATAAAATCAAGAAATGAATGAAAGCTTCACTGTTGTATTGATTGTTACTTTCTATTGACTTGTCATGCAAAAGACGATATAAGTACAACTATAGGGCAGACAACTGAGCCATTATTGATGTTGACATAAAAGAATATCAACAACTACAAACGCAGCCAGTACAGAAAAAAGAATCGATAATAGAATATGAATTATTTTCGATTCGTATAATAATTTTTCGGTATTGCTTTTGTCTAATGGTTTTGTGAACGTCTTCTCTACTATTATCATCGCTGACACACAAAAAGGAAATTCAAATTTTATAACCATCACTATCATAAAAGTTTAAAACTTCTATAACCGCGGGAGATGCACGTTCAAGCGTTGCCATGAGAACCCACGGTCATGATTGGTTTTTCCATTATTCAAATCACTTTATGCTCGTAGAAACTGACGGTATAAATACACCGTTCATCGTCGTAAGTTCTTCATGAACTTAGTGGCTTCACCGTTACATCCCTAGTAACTGCCAACCTCGCAAGAAGCAAAAAGAAATGAGTCAATCGCCATTATGACTCACCTCTTTACCACAATCTATAACAGTGTAAGGAGGATCTGCAAAAAGTTTTGTGTTTCTTTTTTTTTCTTCTATTGACTTTAACTCAAATATAATGTATGCTTAAAGAACGGAGAATATTTGTCTTTACTTATTCTGTTTCCTTCTCTAGTTAACAACAGAGACTAATAATAACAACATTTCTTTTTACCCATGCGACACTTTTTTTTAAACATACATAAAAAAAAAGAAAAATCTTGTACAAAATTGATGTCATTATTATTCTAGACAAGAAATTTTGTCAAGAAGAAAAAAAATAAAACTGATAAAATATGATCAATTCACAATTGGATTCAAACGACGACATGGTAAATTTATTTATGAAACGACTTAAAGATTTTAATATTGATAATATAACTAATGATACATATGGAAAACTTTCTCAATGGCGTGATGATTGTCATAAAAAAATCGATGAAATTTATCAACGAAAGTTTGACGAACTCAATGTTTATATAAACGAAATCAAAAGTGCATATGAAGAAAAAAAAATAAATGTACAAAAAAATATACTTCAACTTAATGATCAAAATAAAACGAATAAAGAAAATAATGATTTAATAAAAACAATGATTCAATATATTGAACAAGATTTAAATGATATTGAACAAATATCTATTAAAATTAATATTCGATCATTAAATATAGATAATAGTTATGTTCATATTGAAAGAGAATTTAATTTTAAAAATTTTTCATTAGATTATCCTAAATTTAATTATTCAATTGAAAGTTCATCAGCTTTAGCAAGTAATGAACAATTTTTATTAATGCATCAATATCCATATTTATGTTTAATTGATCGAGATTCTAAAATAGTTAAACAAAATCTTTGGTCTTATGGTTGGATTCGTGATATGTGTTGGTCCAAAACATTGAACTGTTTTATTATAATAACAACAAATGATATTTATTTTGTTAATGAAATGTTACAATATCGTACTCCATCGAAAGATTTTGTTAAACAAGTTTGGTTTTCTTGTACGTGTTCAAATCAATCTCTTTATCTATCAACATGTGAATGGGGTTCATCAATATTTGAATTTAATTTTTTACCTTCATTGCAATTCAATAATCAATGGAAACCTCCATTAACATGTGCAGAATATGATGGTATTAATGATATTCAATATAACAATGAAACACTTGCTTTAATGATTAATGATCCAGTAAAACATAAAAAACGCATGGAATTAAAGTCAACAAAAACATTTAATACAATTTGGTTGATTGATTTGAGTGTTGGAACTGATATTCGTTTATTTACTTGTTGTCCAATTAATTATAATGAATGGCTTGTTGCTGATGGAACTAATTCACAAATTTATCATATTACAAATAATGGAAAATTTAAAAACAACCTTAGTTATAATTCAACACCTTATCGAGCAAATCTATTTAGTTCAAATATATTAGCTATATCAGCTGAAGATTATTTAAATTTACACCGTTTTTCAATTTAGTTTTTATCGATAATAATTATTATAATATCATTTTCAATAAAATATTTTTACTTTTTATGCACGATTTGCTAAAATAAACAAAATTTTATATTTGAATTAGCCTTGAAATAAATTTTTAGATAAAATATAAAAATTTAAAAGATCTAAAATGACAAAGAAGTACTATATGTGTCTGTTTTCTCTAATTAATACTTAATTTAAGCGTATGGACGTAGTAGTCATCACATTTTTTTTTACCTTGATATAAGAATAAATGAACAAGAAAAGTGTCAATCTATCATTCTAATAAATGAGCTTAATGAAAACGAAGAAATAAATTCTTGAAACTTAGTTAAAAATATTATCTGGATCAAAAGTTTTAATAGGATTTTATATTGTCGTAGTATTTATGTCTTTGTTTTTGTCTTCGAAAAATTCGAGAAATTTATCATGACGTGCAACCAGATATTGTTCTATCTGTTAATTTATCTTATTAGATTTGTTTTTTGGTAAATATAATAAACATTGAAATATCGATTGTGACATGATTCTTTTTTTTTTTGCTATCTAACATTTTAATCAAAAACAAAATAAGCAACGTTCCTTCATTAAAATAAGCAAGAAAAAAAAAAGCCTAGACGTTAAATAATTAGTGTAATATATAAAAAGAATAATAATTTTTCATCCATATGTTTGCCATTTGATTTCTCTTTAATAATAGAGAAATATATTTACCTACTTTTCAGTAATTATTCATGACCATGTCATACTTTTGACAATACGACAATTGATATCATTAGCTGAAAAAAAAAACTATTTTTCGTATATCAATGATGGAAAATAGATTTTTCAAGTTAGATTTTATTCATTAGTCAAGTCTTTTATTTTTAAGACGTTTTAGTTTTTTTTTCTTAAAATATATTTCAATAACATTGTCTAGTGCAATCGAGGTCGAAAAACTTCATCAAGTAAACTTTCGCTTTTCTGTTCTGTCCGATCCTTTCATTGATTCTTTTAACAGTATCGTCAATGTAAAACAGCATAATAGTGTTTGCATTAAGTGGAAAAGTGACGCTCATACTTCAGATTATAAAAAAGAAACAACCATCATAGATTATTCTATTTTCTTCCTTTTTTTCTCTTTCCCCTCTGTTTTCTCTCTTTCTCTGTATTTTGCATAAAAGAAGTCACAAGGAGACACATGCAGTCTCTGTTGATGTCGTACATTTTAAGAACAGGTGAGAACAACAACAGCAGTAGCCAAGAATAGAGAAAAAAAGGCGTCTGCAATTTTTTCTACTTCAAAAAAAAAGAAATTTTTCAAGTGAATAAAAAACAGTGAAGGTATAATTAAACATCTAATGATGGTAACGAGTATTGTCTGATCAAAAAAACAAACGTCTAATCGATAGTAAGATTATAAGATCTCGCGCGTTTTTTTTTTTCGTAAAATTCATTTTCATCATGTCATTTATCTTAATTTCCGCTTCTTCTTCTTATTACTATTTTATTACTATTTATTCTTCTACTATTCTCATATTTGCATAGTCAATTTATTAAACACAATTAAACTTTTGTCAATATCAATTATTATTTAAAACAAAAACAAAAAAAGGATCAGAACATGGCATCAACAACAGATTTAACAACTAGTATTATACCTCAACTATGCAAGAATAACTGTGGTTTCTTCGGCAATACATCTTTCGATGGATTTTGTTCTCAATGTTATACAGAACAAAAGAAAAAATTAAAAGAAAAAGAACAACAACTAGATATTTCTGTTGAAATGAAAAAGGAAAATGTTGTCATCGGATCAACAGTATCAGTTTCATCGCCTGTCGAGAATCTGTCATTATCAACTCAATCAAAACCGATAACAAAACCTTATACTTCAAAAAAGACCCGATGTCCTAATTGTAAAAAACTAATGGGTATTTTACAATATCCATGTGTATGTGGTGGAAATTTTTGTTCGAATTGTCGTTATTCAAATGAACATCAATGTCCAATTGATTACAAAGCTGTAGGAAGAAAAATATTGGCTAAAACCAATCCTCAAGTGATTGCTGATCGTGTTCATAATCGACAGTAACAACTTGCCTCGTTTCTATTTAATTTATTTTAATGAGTTATATTACGATTCGATCAAGGTATAGAAAATAGAAAGAGAAACACCGAAATTTAATGAAAAAGAGAAAGAAGAAAAAAATAAATAAGCGGAGCATTCGAATTATTACTTCATTAATAGTTATAATGAAGACATTTGAAAGGATTTTTTGTTATTTTCTTAATATAAATTGAAACAAAACAAGTGTCGAATCTAACAGCAAAGAAATGTTTAAAGAAAAAAAAAGAGTCGATACTTGCTTATATAAAAAAGCCATATAGAAAACATGAGAAATATCTAAATGACTGAGGGACAAAAAAATCGATCGATGAAATCAACGAACGTCCCTTATCTGTGTCACATAAACAAAAATAGAGCGAGAAGAAAAGAGAAAGTATTGTGATTTTATTTGAAAAAATAACACAGTTTTTTTTTGTTCGTGTTTCACACCTACATCATTGCATGCGTAGTTCGATGTATGGCAGTGTCAAAAAAAACAAAAAAAAGGATGATGGTCTATTCGTGTCATGCCGTTAAGTAATGGCAAAATTGACGAGCAGCGTGCATCGAGAATGAATAGAATCATTCTTAGTCTATCTTTCATTTTCTTGCGTTTCTTTTTCTCCTTTATGTTGTTGTTACCACCGTTGCTCGCGCGTATCTCCGCTCTCTCTCGACTACATATGTCTATCTGTTTGATGCCTTTTACGAATCATCATCTTCTCCCTTTCTTTTTCCTTTGGATATTTGTTGAACTGTCTCTAGTCTTGTATTTCATTTTTCTATTGCCAATATATGACGAGACGATTAACACATAAATACACACTGAAAGAAAGAAAAACATAGACTAATCTATCAATCATTAAAAATCGTAGGTTGAGTCAAATATAAAAAGTTTTCATTCATCTTACGTATAAGTATCGATCAATTTTTTGATGGTTCAAATCTTCTTTCTTTTTTTTTTTTTCGTTTCTTCAGATCAATCAACAATGAAATAAAAATGAGTACAACAACAACTGAATCTTCTTCATCAACTAGTAAAACGACGCAAACAAGCATTAAACAATCAACTGATGATTTAGCTAATTTAGTTGATGGTCGTAATAAACCATTAGTAATTATTCTTGCTGTTACACTTCCAACATTAGCTGTTATTGGTATTTTAATTCTATTAGTTGTATGTTATCGACGACGAAATGCAACAATTTGGTTAAAAAAAATTGGTAAGTAAATCTATATATCTTAATTATTGATTTATTAATGCATAAATCATTTTCATTTAATCAAATAGAACATTCAAGTCGATTACAAGCAATTGTTGTCAATCTTTCGGCGACTTCTATTCAGCCAGAGTATAATTCATATGATTATTTTCTTATTTATAAATTTAAAATATTTTCTAATAGATATTCAGAAAAAAAAGCACGCCTTTCTCATCGACAATTTTCACCGCCACGTACAGAAACGATTGTCTATAACCGTTTGGTAAGAAACCATAAATTAAAAAAAACTAATCATTTGTCACATATCGAGATATGAATTTCTCTATATATCTAGAGTACACCTTCTACTCCAGTATTTATCAATCCATTTAATCGTTTGCAATCATCAAATGGAGGTAAGTAAAATTGATCGAAGAAAAAGCACAGAATTGTAGCATTGATTATTGTTATTAAATTTAATAGGTGAAACTAATGAAGCATTTGATGAATTCTTAATTAAAAATGAACAAGAGCCTGTATTAAGATCAACACTACAACAAAGTTCAAACAGTGGACAACGTACAACATCAGTAAGATGAACTCGTTTTTTTTTCAAGATAAAACTGTCTTTTGTTTTTTACTTTTAGCTTCAAACAGACTTTCCTTTTACATTACAAGCACCTGTTCCTACAATAACATCAGCACTTGTTAAAGCTATTGCTACACATCGTGTATCTTTGATTCTTGACGCAAACAATACATCATCATCATTAGAAACAACAACAACAACAACAACAGCCACAAATAATCATAATAATAGACATTCAGGTGCATCATCATCGTGTTCCAATACTTCTCAAACGGTGCTTCTTTTTTCTCAGAGAACTGAATTATAATTATTTTTCATTATTTTTTTTTCATCATAATTTAATTTTGCTGCTATCTGTGTTTCATATTTCCAAGAGAAAAAAAAATGAATATTTCACTTATTTATATATATAAATTATAATTAATAAAAAAAAAAAATTTTTTTTTTTGATCGTTAAATATATGAAATATTTTAAAAGAATGACTTCTTCGTGAAATACATTAGGATTTAGAAAAACAATTATAATTCTTCTGTTTTGATGAAAAATTATCTTTAACGTATTTCATGTTTTAATATCACGTGATGATTCTTATTAACATGTCTCACTATTATGACTTTGTAATTTTATAATTATCTTTATGAAATATATCTGTAATTAATGCTATAAAAAGTTTAGATTAATCACTTTGTCAATCTTGAATTTGTTTTAGATATTATCAGAGATTTTTCATTTACGAATATTTCTTTTGCTATTCGATAAGTATGATAATTTCATCATTTTCTTTTAACAAACTGACAGCTTATATTCATTATTTCGAAAATACAGATGATTATAATAACTTGCATGGAAAATTTTACCAATGAATAACATTATTAAGTAAACCAAGATATAGTGTTTTATATGCACCAATTATTTCACATCTGGTTTACTTTAGTTATACGTCTTTTTATTGTTTGATGGTTTGCATTTTCTTTGTTTAATATCTTATATTAGAAGCATACGTTAATGTATGACTTTTTTTTTCTTTGATAAATTTAAACAATTGTTAAATATTGACGAATGATTTTGATATAAAATCTATGAAAACTGTTGTTGAATTTTTATAGAATTAAAAAATAAAATATAAAAAAAAAAAATTTCGTTATACAGAAAAGTTTTATTAATACACAAATCGAGCATTTAAAACTGCTAAAGTATAGAATTTATCATTTATACTATATGGATCATTTCAAAAATTCGAACACAACTTATTCTTATAACATAAAAACAACATTCTATCTATGTACATTAATAAAATTACCATATTGAAATATTTTCTTTGTATGTAGTTCATTTCAATTCATCAAACAATGAACTAGACAAATTTTTACTATATATTATAGAAAGATAATTGAGTTAAGCGCTATATGCTATTCATTCAATGCATTAAGTCAAATACATGCTTCCTATTTTAGCATGCGGTCACACAGAATGGAACAGAGTTCATTATATGACAAAACAATCATATGTTATATTCACGGTTCAATACTCGGTTATTAGTGAACAGCCATGGCATTAAAGATAATAAGTGACGTAAATAATTATTTAATACATTTATATCTGTAAGATATGCATCGACACATATTGATATATTTGACAGATATGATAATAAAAATAATTCGAGTTAGGCATTGTCTATTAACAATAAAAATGAACATCACGGGTAATTTTTAATAACTATTGTTTAATATTGACTGATTTTCTTATTCTTGCAATGATTGTTTTTATTCTTTTATATTAAAATTCTATCTGTCGAAAAGCTATAACATTTGAAATAGGCTAAATAATCAATAATATCTTTTTGAATAACATATAATGAATGAATTTAAAGAAAAAAAAATTGTCTTTTATATTCAATTGTATTTATACATTTTATAATTAGGCACATGTTTTAATGAAAATTATCTTATTGTGTATTTATATTAATTCAAATTGAAGTAATTAGTTGTTCACTTATTTGAAAACGAATAATAAATCTTCTTAAGTTAAACAAAATGTTTTGCTATAATCGATGTTCGTGTTGTTTTATGCTCAACAAGATAAGCATTTCCTATAAAAGCATTAATACTTAAGTTGAACATGTTTCTTTTTCAATTCATCTACTATTTGTCAATCGAGTCGAAAGAAACTAATTTAATAAGTATTGTAAATATAATAAACTATGATAATTAATACACAATATAATGTTAATAGTTCAGTCAGTTCACGTAATTGAATTTCCATTGTGATGACGTATCAAATGGATATAAATAATACATGACAAATATCTCGACCTATTTTCAGTATAATAGAAGTTTGAAGGAAATCAAAAAAAAAAAGAAAGAGAAAACATAAAATATCTTTGTCTCATGACAATAGAATCTATTGTCAAACAAGTTGATCCTTGTCAAATATTAAATATCATATCAATGGCAACATTCACCACTACACAACCGATACAACAATTGTAAATAGAACCGGAGCCAGTAGAATGCCTATCACTAGTTATTTAATATTTTTTTTATTATTACAGATGATTCTTTTCTCCTCTCTGTTCGCAAAATTAAATAAAGAAAAACAATAACCTAACATTGAATCATTTAAACAGAAGAAATCAGAAACCTCCTTGAACGTTAAAGAAAGACCGATCTTTGGTAAATTTACACTTATTGATTCATCATAAAAATATGAAACATATACATGATTAATCGATAATGAATTTAGCGAAATTAAGCATAAGCCTATGATAACTAACTATATTCTATATATATATGCTAATATTCAAAAGCGATTAGTATAAAAAAAATCATTCGTTTATAATGAAATGATGTATTATTGTATCGAGAAACATATTGAAGATATGTTTCAAATTATTCAAATATCTTTAAGTAGTTTTTATAATCAATTATTATTATTGGCTTCATTCAATGCACTTAAATGACTAAATTTAATCAAAATATATTTTATTTGAATAACTACAATATATATTGATAAACAATCTATAACAATTTTTAACATTCAAAATTCAACTTCGTATTCTTCAATATTTACAATAGAACTGCCGCCCAGATCAAAGTTGTTAGCTTGACTCTAACACTATTAAAATCAAATATAGATGCATTACTTTATTATTCGAGAGTACTTCGATAAATTCATTCGATTTTAGCAACAAATAATTGAACAAAACGTCAATTTAGTCTTGTAGGACTTACATAGACTGACAGAAGAACTTGTTTTTAGATCCAAAATAATTCGATAATAAATTTTTTTTTTGCGCTCTTGTAAAAGTTGTTTGTCAATGTAAATGTACTTGTCTGTTATAATAAGTGTCACTTATTGTCTTTTGACTCTTAGTTGCATGCTTGATCATACGTTGTTGTTTCCATCATGATTATTTTCGTTTTTTGATCATACAAAACAGTACTGACATAACCAAAAACATTACATTAATTCAAGCCTTTCCTCTATGAATAATATTTATGATAATTGTCTAGTTTTTGTTTTAATTAGCTATTTCGTGCAAGAACTTATTATTATCTTATCTTCATAGAAATAAATTAAGTAAGCAACTGAAACTAGAACGACACATTAATACAGAGTTATAGAACTAAATATATTCGGAAAATCAGAAACATCACTCAGTTTGGTTTGACCTGCTGACAGCTCTGATTCATACTTGTGTAACAGACGTCCACCACTCGCGATGCAAGTACGAACAACAAGCATGACTCATTTATGGGCAGCAGCGCCCTAATCATACCAGCTGTTAAATTTTAGGGTATGAGATACTGCTTGTTTTATTACCCCATTTTATAGTCATTTGTTAAATTTATAAACTAAATCGTCATCAATATTGATTCCAAATTATCTTGATGAAAAACTGACCTAACTTGAAACTTAGTGAATTTCATTTTGACGAGCATAATATTTAAATTCATATTGAACGTAAATTTAACTGTAAAACTAGTTAGTTAAGACGAAAACCCATAATTACATATATCGCTACATATTGTTCAATCAAACATTTGTTTTTCGTGGTATTTTTATCTTTATATTGTTGGTTCATCTGAATAACATCAAAAGTAAACTGACGAAAATAAAGAATCCTACTGCTTGAAATTACGAAAGGCTGTAAGTGTAGGTGTGTAAGTCTGCGTCTGGTTCAGAGTATAAGTGTGTGTATACGGTTCTGAAAATATGTGTCTGTTGGGTGCGTGCAAGAAAAGACTCGCAACCATACACATACACCTCACCCACACCTGCATTGTTATATTTCTAACATTAAATTAAAAGTCTCTATTAATAACACTGCAACAGTGTCTTTTTCTTTTACTACTCTGATGCATCATCTTTCGACATTTTTATTTCCGATATTTTTATATTCGACCAAATTCAAGTTTACTATGTTATTGTTCCTAGATAAGTGTTCAGCAATGAAGCACTATTTATGAGAAATATTATAGAACAAAATATTTTTCAGTTACCATTGGGTGCTGCCGCGTCGTCAATCGAGAATTATAAGGTAGTGTCTAGTTCCGCCGCTGTCTGGCGACAGTCGTTGTCTTCCACACTATGTCCATATCGTTTTTAGGCGCTCTGCACATTTCTACTGTGAAATCTTGGAGATACAATTGAACTTCTGAATTCATTGCTGTATCAATCCTTGAATTGAAACGATCAAAACAATATTTCTATTTTTCTTTTTGTTAAAAAATAATAAATAAATAATGTAATGATTCTTTTAAAGACATATTTCTAAATGATTGTTTAATTTTTCTTGATTTCTATTTTATTTCTTTTTATTTTTACCGTCAAGTTCACTAACAAGCAAATAGGGAAGAGGGTATTGCAAAAGATGTGTTAAGAAAAATAAAGTGGAATCAATGTTGATAATATACACAACCACAAACAAAAGAAAAAATTCGCTTCGAACATGTAAGACAAGGATATCAAAGACAAAAAAAGAAAAATAATAATAATTCTCACACTGTATTTATTTTTTCGAGTTAATCAATTAAATAAATCTCACTGTTCTTTATTGAATATATATATATATATATATATATATATATATGGTGATGGTTCATTATCACCGGTCAAGAAAAAGAGAAGAAACAAACAATATTTGACATAATATGAACAAGAAGGAATATAAAGGAAGACTATATTTAAATAATATATATTTTTGATGATTGCTCTTCATGAACTTGTACTTGCATCCATGCTGTCATCATCATCTTCTTCTAGTAAAGTATCAATTTGACGACGACGTTTACGAAGCTAAAAAGTATGAAAATAATTTTCTATCTCTGATTATTATTGTAAACTTACTTTTTGAAATTGACAATCCGAAAATAAATCATGAAGAAAACGTTGAGCAGGCACACGTACACTACTCAATGATAATATATAACATACTTCAGAATATAAACAAATATTATCAAATATTTGTGGACGACTTTCTTTCCAACTAAAATATTAAATTTTGAGTTTATTTAACAAAAAAAAAAAAAAAACAAGAAATAACTAACCTTAAAAGTTTTTTTTCTACTTCATCAGTATGAATAGCAGCAATAAGACGACTAGCTAATGATTTGACATCAGCGAAATCTGCTTGCATATTTATATGAGAATTTTCATGTGGTGTAATATTTGTTGTATTATTACTACACATCATACAAATATTTAATGTTGGCGTTGATGATATTGGATTTATTGGAACAATTATTGTTGTTGACGTTATTTGATCTTGTGATGGATTTGCAGGTGATGTTGAAGTAAATTCTATTGAAATAAAACATAAAAGAAAATGATAAATTATAATAATTATATTAAATAATAACCTCCAGAACTAATTGATGCTCCAGTAGCACTACGTGTTCGTGCTTGATCAGCATTTGTATTTCCACGTGAACGAGAACGAACAAGATCATACCATGTCTCATAATTTAAATTATAACCATCAGATATCTGTGAAATATAAATAAACATTTAAAATTATACTTATGGAATAACAAAAGTAGCGGCATAGGTATTTTAGTTCCTTATAAAAACAGCAGCCGTTGTGACTTATTTTTTCGAGACTTATTGGAATTTTTAAATAGATTCTGGTATCTCTTCATTTGAAAAAGATCCATTAGGATATACTAATTTGGTATAATATAGCAGAATTTTTAATAGGCATCGAAATAGGGATCTTTTTATGACATACTAAACAAAAGAAAGTCTTCATTTAAAAAAATAAATAGATCTGCTAGTAGAAAAATGGTCTACTGAAGGATTATTTAATGCTAAGGAGTTGGTATGACAACCTCTGTGATACAATAATATTTGGGAGAATAAATCTACTGGAAAAAAAATGAATCCAACGATATCAAAATGTCTTTAGATTAATGTTATAAAAGACATCATACTATCATAATATAGGATATAGAAGAAAAAAAATATTTCGGAACTTGAAAAAGATCCAATAAATCCTGAAAAAAGGTCCTGGTAGCCCGTTGTGTCACTATGTTTGATATGCATTAAGTATTATATGTATAAAATGTTTTTACTTCTACAACTTGACGAATATCAACAGGTAAAGCTAAACCACGATAAATAGTATTTCCATCTTCATCAGCATCATCTATATCACGTTGATCTGCAGAATATTTTCTTAAAAGAAAAGAAAACGATTCTTATTAAAAACTAAAACTTCTAATCTCAAATTTTACCCATTATCTGTTAAAAATCTATCAAATTGTTGATCACGTAAATCATGTGATTCATAAATTTTCTTATAAAAGCTTGATGTATATCTATGAAAGGGTAATAAAAATTCATCTTTTTTTTCTTTTAATAATATATCATCTATATAAGAATCATTATGATTCGTATTAGCTAATTGAGAATATGTTGCATGACTTATTTTTTGTACACGTCTTGCATATTCATAACCAGTTGCATCTGGTTTTAAAAGAAAATTACAACGTAATAAACGTGATCGATATAACTCATCAGTTGCTGATGGTTCTGATGCACCACCAAGACCAGCTGTTGGTGCACGTAGTGCTTGAATAACTTCAGGAACTTTTTGTAATTGTTTTGATTGTCGTAATGCATTCGATTGATGTGCTGATTTTGATCGTGGACGAAAACGTTCTAATGGTAAACTATCTGTTGCTGATTGTTCAGCAGCTGATTGAGATTGACCATGTGATGCATATGTTTGATAAGATGGTGAACGAGAATATTCAACATCTGAAAATGATCCTGTTGCTCCACTAGCTATACCTGAATCACGACATGTTGTATTTGTTAATTCTTTTGATATACTTGAACAACGACGTATAGGTACACCAACAAGTAATGGAGGACCACCAGGTTCAAGATTATCAGAAAATGATACCATTGCTATATTACTTGTTGGTGTTGCTGGTGCACTTTCTTCAGGTATAATAACTAAAATCATATTAATAAGTATTTATTTTAAAATTAAAGAAAACACAAAAGAATTTTTTTTTTTTTTTACCATGTAGAACATCTGTTTTTTCATTAGCATTTAATAAAATTGTTGAAGGCATTGTTAATGATCGTTTAGATTTGACATCAGATAAACTTAATTCGTGACGAGGATTGAAACGAGTTGTTGGTACAGGATCGGCTGTTAGTGATTCATTTGTACTAGGTTTTATTTTATGTTCTGATTGATTATTTGTGGTCGAAGCTCCTGGTGGAGTTACTTGTAATGAAATACTTTTACGTGGTGATGATGGTGTAGCACCTTTTGAAATACGTCTTTCAGCACTTTGATATGTATCAGTATTTGCTGCTGATGGTGGAATTGAATGAGATCGAACACGATATGTTTCCCAACCATAGTCTTTCAAAGAAATGGCACCATCTGGAGTTTGCGCTATTAAACTGAGTGCATAGAATGCTGTACTGAAATAAAAAAAAAAGAATGAAATTACTTGTTAGTTATTTATTTCAGATCATCAACAATACATATATTATCTCTATCTATGTTTATCGATAAGAATTAATTCAAGAAAAATTGATGAAGGAATGTTTTCAATTGGTTTCTCACTAATTATCACTTTCAGTGAGTGTTTACATTTAATTTTAGTTCTTATATCATTTTTATAGTTGATTATTATGTAAATATGTACTACAATTATAAATCTAATCGATACTTTCATTGTAGTACGAGAATATATTGAACAAACTCATATGTTGTCTAAGTTCTTTTCTTTGGAACTATTGTTGTTTTACTGTCGACATCGCACTTTCGTCTCTTTGTTTCTTCAAATGTACTTTTAGCTGAATAGTCTTGAATGAGTGATGATGGAAGTGTCGTGCAATGAGCCTCAATGAATTTTCTAAAGATGGTCTTCCTTTTTTGTTTTCATTCTTTTGACTTTCAACAGATTCGATAATGGATCGGATTACTCTCAGTCGAAAGCCTGATTGATTGTATACTATAATAGTGGCAGAAAGAAGAAAGGAAGGAAAAAGAATTTACATGCACAATACCATCTAACATGTCCCTGGAGATAGAAACGTACCTTATGACGTCTTGAAATTTTAATAAATTTTTTCATAGGAGTCAATTGTTTTGTATTTATTATACGTTATTGTTTATCAGAATACAAGACTTTATAACTTACATTACACGCAAAAAATACTTGATAAATGCTGTCACGAAAACTAATATCATATAGGAATTTATAAGTTTCAATATACCGAAAAATACCGTGATTCATATATAGATTATCGACAACCAAAAGATTAAAACCTGTCTCTATGCAGATACTCTGTTACATATATATGTCTCAAGCTACTCGCTCACCAATAGTCTATGCATTCTACTCGTATACCAAAGTAATTGAGTTCTCAAAGTTATCGCTGATAAATTATCCTATCTCTGCACATTGTTTTCTATACTTTATGTTTGTACTTAGTTTTAATTATAAAGTTACTTATAATCAGCATGATATTGTTTCATGTTTTATCATTAGTAGAAAGTTGAATAATCTATAATATAATCAATAATAAAACTGTTTACTTTCAAACTATCAGTACAGGAACATATTTATATTTCTACTGAGAATCATCGGAAAACTTCGTTTTTTTCTTGTTAGGTAAAAGTATTATTTCGAGAAATGTTTTTCTTTTTCACACTAAATTTCATTTACCCTCGAACAGATAAATTTTGACATTCTTCAGCAAATCTTAAAAAATCTGGTAATAAATCTTTTTCCATAAACCAAATATAGCCATATTCCGTACTAGCTGTATGAGCTAATGCCCAAAGTGCTTCTTTAATAACATATGTTTCATTTAGACTAATACAATTAGTACGATGCTGTCGTAATTCTATTACATATTTTTCTAAACGAGATTCTGAACGTAATAAACGAAATCCATCATAATGAAGACATAATTGTCTATATATATGTGATGAAACATAAGCAGTTGGTTTTTTTATTTTTGTTTTATTTGTTAACGATGCTGATTTACGTCTTTCAAAATAATCATCAGTTAATAAAGCACCACCTGAATGAGCTGAAAATAATCTTGTTTCCATAAAAGTAACATATTCAGCATTAAATGTTGAATCCCAATATGCAAGTTCTTCACGTAGCATTGACAAATGTTTATCATCATGTTGAACTTGATGAAATGGTATTGAAGTCATACGTGCAGAAGCCAAATGAAAAACTTTTGACAAAAAATAATTTTTATTTTTAATTGCTGTAAAACTTTCCCATTGCTTATAAAATAGATTCACTAATCTCTAAGAAAATTCATTAAAGAAAATTAAAATTTTATTGATAAAAAATACAAAAAGAATCTTTTTACTCTATCTTCAAGAGCTTCATCAAGAACTGAAACTGCTTCAATTAAAACTGTTTGATCAGTATCATGTAATTGTGAAATAAGAAGACTTAAACCCCAACTACCAAATGCAACGGGATTTGAACGAAGAATTACACGAAGAAGACTTGTACTGTACAAACGAAGTGCCTAAAAATTAGAATATAAAAAAAAAAACTTTATTAAATAGGAGAGAAAAAAAAACTAATTTATAATTGTTTCAATATTGAAATCTATTTCATGATCAAAGTTCGATCACGAAATCTTACACTATGTTTCTACACATCAATTTGTGCCTCAGATTTTATAGAATTTAATCTTATAAAATACGGGAGAAAATTTATTTAAATCTATAGTTTTTTAATAAAAAAGATCCTTTTTACAGTATAAAAAAACTTCAAATATAATATCTTCTCGACTAAAATTCATTTGATGAAATTTTCGACTGTAAACAATAAGTACAAAAACATAAATTAACAAAGTGTCATATATTATTTAGACTATTACATTTACAGTATTTTATCTAAGTTCGATCTTTCGGAAGGACAATTCAAAACTTCGGAAGGGTCAATATTACTATTGAGAAGTACAGATATATAGTACGTAATACAATAAGGTCAAATTGATTTTCTGGGCAACTATCCGATTCCGATTAGAGAACTTCGTTGAGAATATGAAAATATGATCTGCTCGGATTTGAATCCTTAAAAGTTTTGCCAGTCGGGTTCAAATCTCTAAAACTTTGATCAACGGGAACTGGATCCGAAAATTTTCGACCCTATGAACTCTAATCCTCACGCTGGACAAAATATTGTATATTTAAATAATTATCTTTCAAAGTGAAGACCAAGAATAAAAGCATTTTTGTCTTATATAAATCTCTCAATAAATTACTGATAATTACCGTGCAATGTGATTTGAGTGCTTGCATTAAATAAGTTCGACATGAACTTTCATAATAATAATTAAATGAAGATAATGCAACAATAGCTGATGTAGCAAATTCATCATCCATTTTTAACATTTCCAAAAGACTGAAAATATTTGAAACAAATATTAATATTTATTAAATCGTCAATACAAGAAAACTAAAAGTACATACCGAACAAATATATCACTGTCAACTAATGATTGTGTACCAACGGATGATTTACTTAAACGTCCAAGAAATAAATAATAATAAACACTATTTTTTGACAATAAATCATGTTCTGTTATTATAGCTCGTCCATTACATTCTCTCATTGCAATAATTGACTACATAGATATATATATAAAGGAAAAAATCAAAACTTCTAAATAAACTCTTAATAAAAAAAAAAATATTACTTGATATAATGCATTACTAACACTTGTTAAAAGTATTCGAGCAATATTACTTGCAATAACCTTGAAAATATGAAATAAATGTTTTCTTTTGCTTATTTATTCATTTATTATTAATTACTCTAATATGATTTGATGATGATCGAGCTGGATAAACAAGAAGATCAGAAAATGCTAATAAAGTTCGACAAGTTACATCAGATAGTGAATCAGTTAAAAGAATATCATTAAAGCCACCATTTTGTTCCGGTTTGAAAAAGTCACATAATTTATCAAGAAACCTAAATTAATTAAATAAATCAAAATATTGAAAATATTATCAACCTTCTAATTAAAAGAAAATTTTCTATGATAGAAAGGAACTAAACATGTAACATTATACAAGTAATACAATCGATATTGTCTTACGAGAGAATATATCCAATTGTTGAATATTGTTGGATTTCTTATTGTGCCTACAAGTAGGTCTCGGTGAGATTAAGAAAATTTTCAAAGACTTCGGGTCCATAACATGCTGATGATGAATGGTGACTGTTTTAGTGAAATTTTCAAGTCAAAATTCTTCATTTCGAACTTTTCAGAAGTGTCGTATTCTCAGTTAACATTACCTTCAAACGGCTATCATTCTTCATGAGTAGGTTATTGACTCAAATCCTTTTAAACTTTTCCAAGTTTCACTGGAACTTATTCGTAGTCATAATATGAAGTTGAACGATGTCCAATAACAGTTGGATATGCTTCCTCATTTGCTTAAAGTCATGGTAGTGATCAATCATATAGTATTGCTAGATATTAGTCTCTATTACAGAGTCCTGCAGGATTACCACCCTACCCTATAACTTAGGGTAGGGTATAGGGTACGAAAAAGTTTTACCCTACATGACTTTGCTCTACTAATCTAATTGAAACTAGCATAGATAAATTCCATTTTAGATTGATCTTTTTTTCGATCCGTTCACTAGCGAGGGAACCTCCTCAGATGTCTGCTTCCAATTTCAATCACCTTTTTGTCTCTAGATACTGCCTAGTGTTCTAATAAAAGCCCTAAAAAAATTTGGGTTTCTGTTAAGATTTGACTAAGCTATCGAACTCTTAATATGTATATTTTGTAGAGGCCCCAGATTTTTGAAAAACTCAAATTTTTGAATTTTGATCTGAAACCTTCCACATATAGAGATTTCAACTAGTCTATCCATGACAGAAGGTCTATCTCTTGAAAGTCTTATATCTCGAAGAGACTTTGTTCAAAACTTTTGAATTTTTGTTCGTATAGAAAATAGTGTAGTTGAGTTTACTATATGCACAAAGTTGCAGATCAAAATTTGAAAATACGAGTTTTCCGAATACTTGGGGTCTCTAGAAAAATTAGACTATTAAAAATTCGATAGTTTAGTCAAATATCAATAGGAACTCAAATTCTTTTAGAATTCTTTGTTAGAATACTGTGTAGCATCTATAGATAACAAAAATTATTGAAACCGAAATGGGACATCTGAGGAGATTCTCTCATAAGTTGGCAATATGAAGATTCAGTAGAAAAAACTTTTCACAACTCCCTGGTTCCCTGTGTAATTTACACGAAACAATAAAATGATTCTCTATATAGAATGGTTACAGAATTTTTGATAGCGATCAGTTAAAGAAAAAAACAAGGATGAAAACTTACATTTCATAGAGCTCGCCTTGGACTTGATTTGCTTGTTTTGGAAAATCCTATTTTACGAAAAAAGAAATAGAAAGGTTATTTCTACATACATTCAATTTTCATAATGATCGTCTCACTTTTAATAAAGCTAATATTAGATCCCAATTCCATCTTTTATAATTATTTGCTTGTAATGTATTTGTATCACGAATACTAGCGTCAATTTTTTCTGCAACCAACTAAAGGAAAAAGAAGAACGAAAAAAAAGAAAATTCAAATGATGTTAGGTACGTTTAATAATATCATGCACGAACACCAAGAAACGTAAGGACAGTCACCCATGCACAGTTATACATCTAATGTTAAGAGCTTTTAGAATTTTAATGTAAAAAGTCTACTAGTATATAGATACAGACACACGCACGCACAAACACAAACCACAAAACAAACCACACTTGTTTCTGCTCTAAGATTTTTTTCTTTACATTTAACGTTCGAAATGGTGTTGAGAATGACCATTTCAAGAGCGATGTCTAGATAATGCATACACACAAACACACAAGAGATAAATATCAAATAATACAAAATTAAGAAAAGGAATAAAATGATGTACGAGAAGAAATATTTCCCTCTCGTTCCCTCCCCCATTTTTTTTCTTTACTTATTTTAATCAAAATACTTACGGGATCATTGGACGATGATGTTGATATTCGGCGGTTTGTTTCTCCACCAACATTTTGTGGTAATGTAAAATAATCATTTAAATGTTGAGCATGATATGTTAATTGTGCTAATTGAAATGAATGTATATGACGTGTACGTTGTTTAAATTCAAAGAATGCATTTATATTAAGCATAGCTTCTTTTGCAAAACTTTAAATACAATAATAAACTATTAAAAATAATCAAATTTTTTTTTTTTCAAAACTAAATACCTTCGTTTGACACTATCATCATCAGCAATAGCAACATCCATCAATAGAGGTAATAAAAGAAAACTTTGCTCTTCAGGTAAATTTTCATTACACTAAAATCCAATTAAAATATAACTAATTATGTACTTTATATTCATAACAATTATTTATTACTATCCCTATAATATAAACTTAGTTATTCGAATTAATAAACATAAGATGTCTTTAGAAAAATGAATTGATGTCAATCAAAGTTTAATCAGAGATATGCACCGCCCATGCCCCTAACGATAAGTAGCGACTCATTAACAGGTAACTGTGTCTTCAAATAAAACTTGAAGTACGACGATCGCACTTCTCTTCTTATTTATCCACTGAGTAGCTATGCCTTAATCATAACAATTGTTCAACACTAGGATATGAAATATCATGTTTTTTATCACTCCATTTTATAGATATTTGTTAAATTTAGAAACTAATTCGTAATCCATCTTCATTAACAATTATTCTGATAGAAAGTCTATCTAACTAAAAGATTAGTAAACTTCATTCTGACGAGAATAACATTCAAATTCACGTAAAACTTAAGGGTGAGTAACATTAACTATAAAATAAGGTAAGATAGAGGGAAACATCTAATAAGTATATTTTCCTGTCTAATTAAATATTCTTTCGTGATATTTTCAACTTTATGTTGTTTGTTCTTAGGTAAGTGTTCAGAAACGAAGCACTATTTTTTAAGAAATATTATAGATCAGCAAATATGAGGAAAAAAATATTCAATTATAGCTAGCTGCGGCTGTGTCACTGCTCAAGAAGGTTTTAGGCTGTGGCAACCTTCGCCGTTAACTGGCGATCACCGTCGTTCTTTGCTCTGCCCTCCGATTCGTTTTTTTAGACGCGATTCACATTTGCTGAAGTTAAATATTCTATTTTTATCTTATGTAAATGTTAAATAACATACCAGCCAAATGAAATTTGCCAAGAGTAGTGTTGCACGAATAGATAATATTGAGTTATCATTCGATGCTAATTCACTCACCGCCTAATAGATAATGATCAAAAATTAATTTTGAATTTCAGGGAAAAATTAAAAACAACAATGGAGATGTTTATTTGTCATTGGAAAATTACCTCGATCAAGCCAGCATCAATAAGAGTAAGAAGCATTAATGCCATATGACTATCAAGCAAGTCCGGTCTATAGATAAATAATAAAAGAAAGCTTAGAACACACTTCAGAAAACAAGTAGAAAAACAAAATATTTCATAAAAAAAAGCACTAGTCAAAACAAACAATTATTCATATTTGTCAATGAATTAATATACCTTGTAGATGATAAACGAGGTAATTTAGCAGCTCCTTCCCAAGCTACATATGTATATCCTTCTTCAACTGTTGTTAAATTCCATATTGGATCTATATGTAAGATATATCGATAAACAAAAATTTTAAATTGAATATTAACATAGGAAGAAAAAAAAATTTCCATTCTCAATATAAAATTAAAATAGAAATCTATGTTTACACATTGATTTAAGTGCTGCGTCATAACTATCACAGACAGCTGGAATATCAAGGTTAAGTAACTCATAAAATAAATCAAGAATTATCATCTAAACATATATAAATATAATTATAGAAAAAAATCGTTTACGATCATACTTTCATTGGTTCAGATTGTACAAGTAAACAATTAACAAGTAAACGTATAGATGAATTTCTTGTTTGACAAAATGCCGTAAAACCTTATATATTATATTAAACATAATAAAATTTATATTAAATATTATTTATAATTAATTAATTCTTACCGATCCAACTATGTAAAATTGTTCCCATAGCTGATGCACATGATTTAAGTGTTTTTATTTTATCTGGTTCTTTAACAATTAAATTATCAAATCTATATAATAAAACAATTCATAAAAATATTGTCTCTCTTTTTTTATCAAATATTTTATTACGCTGCTGGTGTCATTCCACGACGATCACCGGTTTTCACTGTTCCTTTTTCACATAATGAAAAAATTGCCACTAATTGCTAAATACAGAAAAAATAAGTTGAAAACGAATTATAATTATTTAGAAAAAGAAAAAAATGAACATACACTAAACATATTTCCAATTAATTCATGTCGTTCACGCATTCCTTCATCTACAAGTACCAAAGCTGGACCATTGGAATCTACTGAATCCATTATTGTTGGCTCACTATTATCATTGATTGTAAAACGATCAACAGCATGTAACAATGCATAAAGTACACTTTCACGAAGTTCATCTTGTTCAAAATCAACAATAAATTTTAGCATTGTATTTATTGCATGACATTCATGTAATATATGTGGATTTTGAATTGCTAATATTATTATAATAATAAAAGAAAAATATATATTTTGTTTTTTAAATAAAAGTGAAAATAGTTTTTCTACCTATTTCACATAATAATTCTAAACAACATTTAACCATTTGATCAGTTCGTATTATAGGTGTTGAATTTGCATTTCGAGGTACTGATGCTGGATGACTTGATGAAACAATAGCATCAAGAACATAGACAAGTGAATGAGGTAAACGTTGAGGATATAAAAGAAATAAACGACGAATAAGTTTATATGCTTCTAAGCGTTCACGAGCATTTCGTAAGTCAATTGTAAGAGATCTAAATAAGAAACATTGAAAGATTTATTCAATACAAATAACAAATGATGTGGAACTTTCTCTACAATCTATGCTTTCATTTGTCGATCGATTATGAGAACTAACAGAAAATTTAAGTATAATAGATGAAAATTAGAATTTTGTGTTCGTTTCAAATATGTGTGAGACTCATACGTTACGAAGTATGAGAGAATCTTTAAGAGCTTTGAAAAATACAATTCAAATGCAACATATTTATTTCATAACACAGTATCCATAATAGAACGTCTTTATATCAACATACTGGTATATTGGAGATAGTTCAGCTGAAAATTTTAAAGCAAACTCGTCTGATTAAAGACTTGGTGTGAGCAAAGCTTAAGATCAAAACTCGAAACTTTGATTTTACCACAAATGTGGGTTCTTCCAGAAAAATTACAGCAAAATATCGGTATCTCAGCCAAACCACAACTTGTGCCTATATCCTCTTATTCTTTCTATTGTCTCGGCATTCTCTACTTATGTACAAAATTTTAGCTCCAAAGCTTTTTAGCATCTGAGAAGGTTCTTTCGTAAACTAAATTGGGCATCTTCATGACAATAGTGAGAAAATACCAAGAAAAGTAACATACAATCGATTTCAAAGAAAGTATGATTAGATTTGCTGTTTCTAAATCTGCTAGTTCAAATGCTTTCATTCAAACTTTATTCTCGAATCTTTCAAAGATTCATTCATTATTCTGAACATATATTCGGAAAACGCACAAATTTTTGGTTCTAATACCATGGTTTAAATATTCTGCTGACTGTCGTAATTGGTCGATAAATGAAAGAAATATTTTGTTCAGAAACTTTCGCATTATCCGTTAAAATAACTTACCGGCAAACAAGATAATCAAGACGACATTCAAGAAATTTATCAAAAATAGTCCCCCGATGGATTGAATAACGAAGAGCACGAAGTGATGCAGCTCGAACACGTTCTACATCACATAAGAGAAGTATTTGCAGGCTGAAAAGGAAACGAGTGTTCATAAAATCAAATTTATTGTTGTTTTTCTTAGATATATCTACCCATAAATAATTGAATCATCTCCATTTTCTATTGTTTCAGCTGTAGCGACATAATATGTCATTTCATTGAGCAAGGTACTGAGCGGTTTTTTCGATGCATCATACGGTGTATGAGAAGATGATGCCGCTAAAATTTGGTCACATAAGCTCATAAATCCTGTCGTCATATTAAACGAAATATTCAATCAATTTGAATCAGCATCATCAAATAGTTTTTTTTTCTTATATAATATATATATGTATCTAGAAAAATAACACATATTATTTTCTCTACAAATTTATCTCTGGAATACATATTTTTTTTTCTGTTTGGTCATATATAGTGCTGAATTCAAAATAAAGTCTTATATACAAGTCATCGTTAGTAGTACACAATAGAAAGAAAAAAAAACTAACAATTACAACAACAGTAAAGAAAAAAAATTTAATCGAAACTATCATCTATCAATCTAGATATGTATGTTAGAACATAAATCAAAAGAAATATAATTACATTATATATAAACTTTAGACAATTTTCAAAATTGTAATAGAAATTTTTCAATATCACGAACATATTCTTGTGATTTTTCTATTGAAGCAAAATGTCCACCAGTCGTATGATATAACCATAATTTAATATTTGGATATTTAGCTCGTGCTATTGCACGTGGTATATAAATTAATTCATTACGATAATTAATAACAGCAACAGGAACTGAAGCAGCTAATGGACCATTAAGAATTTTATCATCGTCACCAGATAATGCTTGAGAAAAATATTCAAAATAGAGACGCATTGATGACGTTATTGTTCCTGTTGTCCAATATAATACAACATTTGAAAGAAGTTGATCAAGTGTAAAACGATCTAAACCAGAATTAATTGATTGATCAATATCTGTTTCATTATTACTCCAACGAGACCATTTTTCCAATATATACGCAGCTAAAAAAAAATCAAAAATAAAATTTGGAAAAACGAAAGAAAACAAAATGTACCTAAGCCTATTGGTGAATCATTAAGTGCATAGCCAATTGTATCTGGTTTTGTTGCTTGTAAATGAAAATAACCACTTTCTTGCCTAATTATATAAAAAGGAAAAATTAATTATTTTTTTTTTTATTTCTCTATTTATATTTTTCAATTTACCATAAATATTTAGCATACTGAGATGGTGAATAACGGTTAATTAAAAATTCTTGTTCATCATTATCAAGTAATAGTGATGGACTGATATAATGACCAAGAGCTAATTGTATATAATGTTTCCATGTCATAGATGATACAAGTAATGTTACATAAAGTCCTCGAACATGACCAGGATATAATTGTGCCATACTTGTACCAATAATAGCTCCCCAATCACCACCACATACAATATATGAACTATGACCCAGACGTTGCATTAAATTTTGCATAATACGAGCTATTTGTGTTGGATTCATACCAGGACGTACAGGTGCATCTGAATAACCATAACCAGGTAATGATGGAATAATAAGATCATAATTTGTATTTGATGATGAATTAAGACGACGAGCAACATCAAGATATTCAAGAAATGAACCTGGCCAACCATGTAAAAATAAAATAGCTTCTTTTTTTTCATTTTTACGAGTTTTTTGTGTTACACGAATAAAATGAATATCCAAACCCTTTGAAGAACAAAAAATTTCATAATGAAAGACAAATAATGTTAAGATCACTTTTCGACAAATAAATCTATGAGAGTAACAATGTCGATATTGCCTACAAACCTAAGTTGATTATTTTCCTCAAAATCATTCTCAGATTTCTGACCCTTCAAAGAATTTTGAAAAAAAAATTTTTTTTCAATATTAGCTAGACGTATCTATTATCCGTTTCAAAATAGAAGAGACCTTAGTGTTTTTTTAATAACTTTTGAACGGAACATGATAGAGAGCTGCGGTTTTGACCATTGAACAGAGAAATGTTGGGGCCAGATTTCAATACAAAAATTTGATTGGTTCATAATGGACCAATCATATAAAATCCCAACAGACATCTTGCAAACATTATTTTGAACGCAATTCTGATATTGTTATGGATTCTGTCATGACAATTCGGTAGAAAAAAATGTTCTCTTTCGATCTAGACAAGGCCCAACTTTCTATCACATTTAGTTGAGGAGTTATGCAGGTTTTACTGAGACCCACGATTTCGGCCAGTTCAAGTAGAATCGTTCGGAAAACGAGCTTGGAAGGGGTACTTCTCCACGCTGAGTCAAGTGGCAATGTTTATTTTTTGATTCAAAATAGATTAACGCTATAATTTTAATATTCCTCAAATTTCACATTCTAGCGCCATCTAGCGGCTGGACTCATAATTTGAGGAATATTAAAATTATAGCGTTAATCTATTTTGAATCAAAAAATAAACATTGCCACTTGACTCAGCGTGGTGAAGTACCCCTTCCAAGCTCGTTTTCCGAACGATTCTACTTGAACTGGCCGAAATCGTGGGTCTCAGTAAAACCTGCATAACTCCTCAACTAAATGTGATAGAAAGTTGGGCCTTGTCTAAATCGAAAGAGAACATTTTTTTCTACCGAATTGTCATGACAGAATCCATAACAATATCAGAATTGCGTTCAAAATAATGTTTGCAAGATGTCTGTTGGGATTTTATATGATTGGTCCATNAACTACATCCCTTTGAAAGTGTCAAAATCAAGTAGCTTGTGTTAAGTGTTTTAGAGGTAGACGACATCATATACCTAAGATACGAACTTTTCAAAATCTTTTATGTGATTCAATACACTTCGAAAAGCATCTGTATTTGGTAAATTCATAGCTCGGAGATACAAAGTCTTTAAACAATGAAACTTTTTATACAAGTTATTGCATTTGACATTCTTAAATGAAGTTAGTTTTACAAAAAAAAAGTCAAAAACACGCACTTTCAGAAAACCTGGATTCCAAAAAGTATCTCTGGTAAATAAACATATGAAAAATTTAATAGTTCCATCAAGCCTCAATAGAAATTCAAATCCTTTTAGAGCTTTCACTAGCCTACTATGCAGTACCTGTAGGTAAAGAAACGTTGAAATCGGAAGTAGGAATCTCGGAAGATTGCCTCGTTAGTTCCCTATGTCATTGTCAATATTTCGAATATTAATCCTTTGAATATCATTACTTGACTATGATAACTAGAGAATTTTAAATTTGTATGATTATTGAAAGCACTAAATGCTGAGCATTCAACAAGTTTAGCCTTCTTGTACTATAAAATGTAAATAAATCTTGAGTCAAAAGAAATGAAAACTTTTCCTTTTTTACCAAAATATAAACCTGACTCTTATCAATTTACCATATCAAATTGAAATCTTACTTCTTAATAGTTTTTCACATTCAGCTATTTTATGACTGAGCGTCGCTTTTGAAGTTTGACGCCTTCGTGAAAAATTATTTTAACTTCAAAATTACAACGAATACCCTAAAATATCTTTCGATTATTTACTCAAAAATTTGAGTGTTAACTATTATATAATTCGAATAATTCAGAACATCCACTATTGAAACATCCAGAGGCAAAAAAGGATGAGAACTCAAGAATTATCTATTCTACCATAACTAATATGATTAATGTCTGTCATAATCGTGTTAACTCATAAGTTATTCGATTTCGCATATTTTTCACTTTCCTATATACTTGCAAACCAAATAAACATCCTATGTAAAATCAATTGACAAAACTAAATCGTCATATCTCGATATCTTTCTCGCATTCGAGAGTTATTCAAAATTTAAGAAACAATTCTGTACTCTGATCTTGAATGGATTAACGATTCAATTATTTTTCAATATGACAAATATATCTATACTTACAACTATACTGTACTTTTTTCGCTATAAAAATACTTGTTATACAAAATAAATCCAAACATTGAAATATCAAAAACAAAAATTTATTTACCAAAAAATCGTTTTGTATTTCCATCTGTTTCAAAAACCGAAACAACACCTGGTCTAAGTACACCAAGAATTGGTACATGATGAGCTAGAAAAGTTTACAAATTCAAATACATATATATATATTTTTCTTTTGTCTCTTTTAATTTTACATACCAAGAATACCCATATTACCACCCACTGTAGAAACGTCAATTTGACGAACATTCTTTGCTTGATTATAAAAAACCTAAATAAAAGTATACTTATATATTTGTATCTTTTTGTTTTTGAATGTCATAAAAGTTACTTCAGATGGTGAAGCAAATGTAAAAGTCAAATCTGCTGCTGATCCTGATGCTGGAGCAGTTGATGTAGCTTGTGTACGTGCAGACATTAGTCTAAAAACAGGATTACGAGTTGCCGTTGCAGTTCGAATTAAAAAGCGAGTAGCAGCCATAGCCATCTGTAGTGGAATAAACAAAAAAAAAGGTCTAATTCCAATTTACTCACTCAGGTTAAACCAAAAAAAAAGAAAAAAACGATACGTAAGAACATGTTTTGTTGTTATTTTTCTTATACAAAAAGAAAAAAGAAATGGACAATCAGAATAGGGAAAATAGCGTTGGACATGTATCTACGACTAAAATTCAATGTCTCTAATTTGATGATTATTTCAAATATTTGAATACATGTGGTGACCACTAAAAAGAAACACAAGAAAAGATAATATAAATCATAAATTTTTTATTGTTTTCATTCTTCTTACACATTCATCAACACAATGAAGAAAATCCAGTAATTCCTCATTACATGTTTCTTTCGTATATGGTTTATTTTGAACCCTATTCGTACATTCTTGTAAACGATGTTTAACTTTTTCACATCCATGTTCTTCACTACATAGTTGTTTTAATTTTGCTAATGGATCCTATTTGATTAGAACAAAACAAAACAAGAATATGTTTTTTCTTTTGCTCTTTAAACATACAGCATCACCAATTTCTTTCATTTCTTTTTCAATATGAATATCATTAAAATGATGTTTATGTCCACCAACACCCATGATAATAAAAAAAAAAGTTTCCTTTTTTTAATCTTAAGAAAAAGAAGGAAAAAAAAAAGAAAGAAAGCGATATTATCAAAAAAACAAAAAAATGTCTTTGTAATGAAATCAACCATAAGAAAATTTGTTGACGTAAAAAACCTCTAAACCATAAACCAATCATTAGAAACTTATAGACATTAGTGTGACAAAATAACAATATTTTTTTTAATCGGTTTTTTAGAAATATTTTGAATAATTTTTTTTCCAATAACATTATGATATGAATGACAGAACTAGAACATTAGCGCCGCGTTTGTTTTAGACGAGTAGTGGCGCCCTCACAACGTGTATTATATTATGCAGGATACCAATATGCCAGTAGAGTAGTAGATAACAGTAAAACTAGAATACTAGCTCCTTTATTGTTCTGACAAAATCAATGGAGAGTGCTCCTGCTTTATTGATATCCTTTATTCTTGATAATGTTAGGCACGTAACAAGGATGCCATCTAGCACTGCCCGCCCAAAACAAGAAGGGCGCTAGTGTTCTGGCTATGTTGCTATATTAAAGATTGATACAATAGATAGTTTCTTTTGTTTTAAATGTTTGATAGTGTGATGAATTTCATTCTAGCCATTAGATGTTGTCGATTTATAATAAATAGTATCGTTATAAAATAAATCTTTCAACAATCGAAAGATTAATTATTCATTGTATATTGGATGATTCAATTTCAAATGTTATTATGTCGTTCAAAAACTGTAATAAAAATCGAATTAATAGCTACTTTTCTTCGCTCATCATAAGGATGAAACAAGGACGATGATATGCTGTAGAATCCTCGATGAATCACATTTAGTTAGTAACATTCTAATTTTTCAGTAATGTATTTAATTCATGCTTTCGAAATAATTGATCTTATACGACAATGTAGACTTCAAAAACAATCTAAATTTAACTTACAATCAAATGAGACACTTCCTTTTCGGAGAACACGAGACTAATTTCTTTAAACATATATTTTATACTGCAAAAGATTTTGGTCGTGCTTCTCTCTTGAATTTTTATTACAGTATTTCTTGACAGAATAACGAAACTACATTTATACCCTTAATGACTATATCATAAGTATAGTTTTTTTTTTTTGTAAAAATATTCTGAATTTATTCATTCATTCATGTGTTTAAATGCATGGCGCTGCTGAGAAATGTATTTGCTTGTTATTTCAAGAAGGAAATATTCTTGTATCCTTTTAACATTATATTCCTAAGAAATTTTCCTCTTTTCTTTTTTTTCTTTCCTAAGAAATTCTTTATTGAAAGAGAATGATCAAACAAAAATGACACTGGAATGACGTGTTAGCCTCATCAAACATCTGTATGTTAGAAAAAAACTGACAGGAGAAAAGAAGAAAAAAGAAAGTAATAATATTATTAATTTCAGCATTTGACGACTATCGCCTACATATTTAAAAGTGCTTGTAACGCAATAGTAACGATGCGAAAAAATCAGGAATACTGTTGCTAACAGTATTAAGTTTTTGTGCGTTTTTCATAATTCATATATATATATATTGAGCGTAGATTTCTTGTGCTAAAAACACAAAAAAAAAACAATTTTCTTATATTATTTTAAAAGATTTTTTTCTTTCGATTTTTGTAGTTTTATTGTAAATTAAAATTGTTTTTGTTATTAAAATATCAAAATCAGATTATTTCTTAAAGTCAATTCATAAACGTGAATAATGAGTCAAGATCCAAATATGTATTATTCATCACAACAAGATACTTATCCATCGTATTCACCTCAACAACAAGGTTTCTATGGACAATATCCACCACAACCAAATAATTATACACAACATCCATCAACACTTGGTATATAGTTTTTCTATCGTTCTTTATCTTTTGATAGCTAAGCCTATGAATTTATTTGTCCAAAGTTTAGATAGAGAGCGAAGTCGGAATATAGTAAAATAAGTTCTAATATAGTTACCACTGGTAACAACATTTCACCTATAAATCAAATATTATGATTGCCAGCAATTTTCAAAGTATCATATATGTTATCCACAGATTTTTACTTTCTTTATTATAAAAATAAATTCACTGTCAAACGGTTAAATAGGAATGATTTTCTTGCCTCTCTTTTACTATTGTTCGATCTATAGGAAATTGTTTTTGATAATAAGGATTCTTCAGTAAGTGATTAAAATTTTTTGAGTTGATGTGTTGTCTGCAATCAAGACTCAATACAATTAGAGAAAAAAATCCTTCAAGGATTTGTTTTCATGAGTGTTGTTCATTGAGACAGCAATATTTTATATTTAGAATCATAAGTAGGCGAACATAACTTGCTGCACTTCAACTGCAAGATTGAATCTTTTTTTTTTTTTCTTTGTTTTGAAAAGTTAAATTACTTTTTGAAAAGTTCATAGCTAACCATGCATTCATTAGTATTTGTTATTTTTAAAACAAAATCAATTAAAAATTATAGGACATAACTATCATTGATCATGAGAACTTTTTCTTCTTTTTTTGTTTTATCGAGAGACAAATCTGTTAGTATGTCTATAGTAGTAACAAAAGAATACTTTAAAAGAAAAAAATTTGTAGAATGTAGAAAACAAAAAGGACTTCATGACAATGTGAAAGACTGTAAAAAAGGAGATGAATATCCTTGAGATTTCAATGTTATAAAATATATGTACTGAATGGCTTTCTCTAAAGAAGTTATGTCATCAAATAAACACTACCACATAATTCCTACAACATCTCCATATTTCATATCATGTTGACTCATAAAACATAGTTAACATTATTATCTATGAGTATTTCAAAAGATAAAATATTGCATTTCAAGTGCAACATGTTATGTCGACATACTTACAATTTTAAACAGAAAATGTTCATATGTCACTCACCTAAATCAATAGAAGCAAATTTCTTGAAGAGTTTTTCTAGTAATGGCTACAGGCACAACTGTAAGTTTAAAAAGATTTGAATTGATGGACCAGTTTCTCCTTAATAAATCACTAATATGAATTATTTCCTCTCGTTTTGAATAATTTTAATGTCGCTTTAAAGCGTTAACTTTCCATATCAAATATTATGTTGTTTTTTTTTTTAAATATATTCGTTGTTGAATAAAAGATTACGTTTTTTCTTGTATTCTAGACGACAAAACTGTGCCTCCATATGTTGATCCAAATACAGCTACCGGTTCTGATCGAAATCAGATGCCATTCCAACCACCTCCTATTATACCACATACTCTAGCACCAGGAGGTTAGTTATCAAACTAATTTACTCAGATACATTAAGAAGATATTAAGATCTACAGCTTTAGATACTAAGAAAAACTAAACATTTTTATCTATACAAAATCATTAGATGAATATTTGTCAAGTAATTTATATGTTCTTATGTGTATAGATTTTATATTTTACATTTTTGTTTACAATTGAAAATTCGATATTAATTTTGAAATTACTAATTTTAACTGAATATGTACTTTGTTGAGAGAATTAGTTTGTATTTTTATTGTAATAGCAATTAACATTTTGAAATCAAGTCTTTATAGACCTGTTTCTCTCGAAAGAAAATTAATCAAAATATGTTCTTTTTTTTTTTTATTTAGAAAACGTGACTTATACTTTTTTTTATTCTTTAAAAGATCCATATACAACAATGAAATTTGAGTCTTTAGAAATGCGTCTATGTCAACTGATGATTATTAATATTTAATTTTAGCTCTTTTTTTTTGTTTCTTTTTATAAAAGTCATTTTTTTTTGGCTGGTTGATTCAAAAAGTAATTTTACTAATGTTATAATGTTCCCTATTTTGACTCTCTTGGTTTTCTTTTATATACGTCACAATTTAGAAGTAATCATAAAGTATTTACTCTGTGACGCAATACATAGTAGACATAGTTTCTTTTTCATCGACGCATTTTAGTTAAATTTGAGCAAATAATTATTTGTTCTAAATTTAATATAATGTGCGAAAAGAATTTTAAACTAATATTCATATATAAAAGAATTGATTACACCTGAGAAAATAAAAAAATTAATTCTATTTATTTATTTTGATAAATGTTAATTAGAAAAAAAGAAAATGTTTAAATAATTCTTGTTTGTTTTTCTAGAAAAGAGCAAATATTTTTTTATGGTACCTTTTAACAACAATTTGATTAGAATATATATTCTAAATTTTATGTAAAAAATGTTCTGTTTTTCTAAAATGCAAGTAACTCATATAATATTTGCGAATATTAATTCGGAAATCAATTTGTTTACAAGAGAAGTTTTATATTGATCTTATATAATTTAATGATTATTATTTATTTAATACAGTAACTGCGCAATCAAGTGGTGGATGGAGTAAATTTAGTGGTCTTGAAAGTAAACTAATTCGC